ATAATTAGGTGATGTTTACTCATGGTTTTTGCTTACTTTTTGAAAGAGAGAATATTCCTCTTCTAGATTGGATTTTTTACCTTTACACTTGTTTATTAGATGACGTCAAAGCCGATTAATGTGAAAATAAACGTCATAGTGTATCAACATAGCGAACAATCAAAATACAAGTCATTATGTGATATTGATTCATCATTTTTTCCTACCTTGCGAAAAAGGAGATTAACCCACTTCTATGTGTCGGCAAGCATAAGTATGAAAATAACTAAATAAAATCGTTGGAGCAATATATATATATATATACGCATGAGAAACGATCACTGATCAAGCAAAAACTACAATCGAATACAATCCTGTACTTTGATAGTAAGTATATTATTTTACTCGTTATGTTGTGATGCTATAAGAGAAAGTATCTAAGAGAAAAAAAATAATAGTAGCTAACATGAACATGATACTAAAGCGAATAGATAAACTCATTGCTGATGAATTAGACTAACCGATGAAGAAGACGAATAAGTTAAATAAAAGTTATACCTCTTTGTCAGTCTTGTTTATCGAGTTTCCAGAGAGAATCAAAATTTTTCAAAGAAAAAATTGAACTTTTCCCATAAAAGGATGTGTAATAGTTTCATCTATCAGAATTTGCATTTCGTTATGCTGACTACTTCTATTTGATGAGTCTCTCTAATACGTTTCATGTTAAGTGTACCAGCTTTCTAATTCTCGCCAGTTTTCTACTGTTCCCAGCACAACTTTTTCAACGATTTTTAATATTTTATTTTGAGTGAAGTTGGAGAACAAAGAAATTCGTTCCAGAACATTCACTATTATGTTGCAAGTTAATATTTATATTTCTACATCGACTTAATTCAACTAACTTTGTATCAATCTTTGTGAAATGTTCTTGGGTATCTTTGTAAAAATGTGTTCTTCTCGAGACATAGCTTTTCATAAGTTGTTACTACTCCTCAGAGGCAACCCAAGATGCACGTGTACAATATTTCTTTTTGTGTGAATATTCTCTCATCTTAGTGATAGAAATGCAAACCTTAATACGCTGTTGAACGATTATTGAATTCATATAATGAATTAATCCTCCCCTCCCACAGAATAGAAGCACAGTCTGAAGGTTATAACTTTCCAGGCATATTAGAAGTTCACTCTGTCCAAAATGAGCACAAAATAGATAATTTTAAAAATTGGATAAATTAACCTACTACTTCTTACTATTTTATGGTATGTGTCAGTTTATATGTCTAATTTTCTTTACGTTGCATATTTTTTGGCAACAGACAAATGAACATCTTTGAAATGTTAACAAATTTTTATGCACATATGTTTATAAAACATAATTGTCTAAGAACTATTGAATAGGAATTCCGATATGTATAAATTTAGTAGAAATAAAAACGTCGAAAGAAAAAATATCGAAGGCATTATTAATGTCCCTTTCACACACACTAATCATATGCAAATGCAGAACATAGATCCTTCTGCAGATTATTCACGCGGTGTTGATGAATGGGTGTGCTGAAGCTGTATTAATAGCAGTTTCGATATTTTTTATTTCTACCAAATTTATGCCATTCGAAATTAGACATGCAATAATATCGTTCTGTTAGGTTTCTTTCTCTTACAAGATTATGTATAACTCAGAAATGAAATGTTAGGATTTTTTATTCGCTTAGCAGCAATATGAGCAAATGTTTTATTGAAGGATAAGACTTTTGAGAAAGCTAACTTATGAACAATATGAATTACGCAATAACGTATTAGATCTAAAAACAAATGTTAGTGTGAGATGATATAATATGAATTGTTATAAAATTTATTAAATTTGAAATACCTATCTCTCAAGGAGTGGAAGACCTTTATTGCGTAGTCAAAGGCTTATTTTATATTTTTGAGGTGACAATTAAAATATATCTCGTTTCGTATCTGAACTGTGCATAAGCTACCATGATGGAGTCGCCTAGCAGAATTATATCGGTGTGTGTCTAATAGAAGTCCCTTTTAAATTCTTTCAAAACTCGACATGCCCAATATCAACATATGATGTTCAATGCGGTTTTTCGTATCCATAGCAAGACCTACGAAATGTTGAGGGTAGATGAGCATGTGAATGTAAAACGTCATGTAAATAGCGCACTACTTTGCCGATTTGATAATGTACATCCGATAAAGAATTAATAATTATTTCTTAGTTCCTAAGAAACTATGAGAGGTATTCTGAAAGTTGTCAAACAACTTGATAATTTCGATTTGAAAATTTTTAAAAGCTTTTGTGCCTGTAAGTCAATTAAATCTTGGCTGCAGTATGAAAAAAGTTAATCATAATAAAAGCCCATGTCCAAACTTATAATTTTCAGAACAAATTAAAAGTCAAATGGGCTTCTATTCTGTGGGGAGGTTTAGTTCATTTTCGCCAATTCCGTTGTTTTGTCGATTTCAACTCTCGATACACGCACTTCTTATGTTCATGCACAAAAAGGAAAGAGGCAGCGAGAAAAAAAAATAGAATAGTGTGCGAGAGACGATAAGGATCTCTTGTATGAAATTGTATTTTAAAACTTTTTTGCTAAACACTCAGCCACACGCCTCGCCCATATTTTGGTAGGATACTCAGTTTTTCATGCCCTTTCCAATGACGTAATTTTCAGCGAGTAACCACTAGATTTATTTTTTCGATGCAGTTGATATGGGCATTGACATAGGACACTCCAATTTGCACAAATCTATGTTACAAACGTCAGGCGAGAGAAAGAGAAAAGGATGACTACGATTTTCTCCGTCACAGGCTTTCTCGCTATAAAAGCTCATTCGATTTTTCTCTTTCACTCCATTCCATATCCATACAGTTCTACAGTGTATATTCTTCTACTATCGGTCTATTGATAGTTTGAACACGGAATTCGTTGGTGCATAGAACGACGACAATGCAGCGGGCAATACGACTTCTGATTACACTTCTCGTATGCTTTTTCGAATTGAGTGCGGTACAAGCAGAGAAAACTGGAAATCCCTTCTACATTATTGGACACATGGCCAACAGCAATCGTGCTGTTGATTGGGCAGTGACACAAGGTGCGAACGCCATTGAATGTGATATCCATTTCGACGGCAGCGGAAAACCCTTTCTTATTGAACATGGTCCAGGGTGTGACTGCGATTGCGCCAATGGCAACGGTCACATTTGTGTTGCTCTTGAAAATCAATGTTCAGGCCCCAAAGCTCGTGAGAATCCTGCGGCTTACATGCAAAACATCGCACGCCATAATGGTATCGCTCTTTACTTCGTGGACTCCAAAGTTGGTGCCAACATGGGAGGAACGCTAGTTGAAGCAGGAAGGGCTCTCATTCCCTTCATGGACGAAAATTTGTTTGGTCATGGCTATAAGGGACAGGTTGTTATCTCATCAGCTACATTCAGTACGTTTGCTTATGTTCAAGCAGCAGCAATGGCAGCAAAAAAATCACAGTACGCGAACCGTTATTTCTTCACGACCGATCAAGAAGGGAATAACTATGTGGGTGTAATGAAGAAGCTGTCTCCGTTTACAAACAATAGAGTGTACGGCACGGGTCAAGGGTCGTGTGGTGCAGTGGCGACTTATTACGATGCTATCAAAGCTGCTGTCGCTGGTAAGAAGATAGGTGAAAATGGTATGAATTACATCTATACGGTGGACAGAGAACAAGCCATGCGAGAGTATATTAATCTAGGTGTCGAAGGAATCATGACGAACCAGATTGCCTTAGCCAAGAAGGTTGCAATATCGATGGGTCTAAGAATCGCACGTCCAAGCGATTCGATTCCAATCTCAAAAGACTATGGTGGCGGTGAGTATGATGAATTAAATGAAAGAGTTCAAAGAACAAAGAATTCTGTTTTGCCGCTTCGGAAGATTCTTATAGTATGCAAATATAGAGGTTTTGAAGTTCCCGTACAGAAATAAGAGTTAGACTCAGCAATTTATAATCACTACTGTCCTGGTGCATTTGAATTCGAATAGATGTTCAGATATGCAGCTATGTTGACACCTGGAGAGAAAATCAGTTAGTTTAACGGTAGAATAGCCGACCGGTTATTGGAAGATGCAGTTTAATTCCTGTTCTGATTTTGTGATCTTTCTTAGCAAATCTTTCGTGCTTGTTGAGACATATTCATATATATGCATTTGCTTCAACTCACTTGTATTCCCGTGGATAGATGTCACGATTGCTTAGTTCTTAACTCGTTAGATAATTTATTATACTTCCCTTACCCTCAAGATTCTATGGTCTAATGATGCTTTCTCCTGACTGCTCTACAAGTGTAATAGTTGATAACTATAGATAGAAAAAGAAAAATTCGAAATATCTTAAAAACTGCTGTTCTGCATTGTTGCTCATTTTTCTCAAAATCATGTTTTGAGCAAAAAATGGCTGAGCCATCTCCTTTTCTCCAAAAAGAGTAAGAGCGATCGAGTTGAAACCTTTGCAAACATACGATATACTATTTACAGTGTCTACTTTTCTTAGATTTAAAACTTTTGCTCCGATGATTTTTTGGCAAGTTTCAAAAAATTAGAACTATATAAAAAGCAGAATTTTGTACAGTACTTTTCATATTTGAGTTATTCCGCTTCAACTATGTGTTCGAAAAACAGTGGCACAAACAAAGATCATTTTCAAAACTTATAAAATGAATATTCCTAGAAAGAAGCATCCAGAAATTTTACATACATCTACAACAACTTTTTCTGTACTAATCAAGATGTCTTTGGACTGCTAGTTTCAGAATTTTCCCGATCAGTGGTTCTTGAAAAAACTACCAGAAATGAGGAAAAGTCCTTAAACGAATTTCCCAACCCAATACTGACGAAAACTGTTTTGTTAGTACATAAATATTCAGGAGTCTACTAGAGCATTATATCAGGAGATTTTAATTTCCAGAAAATAAGAATTTGCCATCATCTCAGTTTCATTGACTTTTCCTGAACCCTTAATAATGTTCAAATGGCTTTTCATGATTTCCTATGGATTCCCTAGGAATTCTGATTTCAAGAAAACCAGCCATATCTCGTCAAGCGAGTGATTTTTAACGAGCTGTCCTTAATTAGTACTATTCACGAAAACTGATTACTGTTTTAATTTTTTTTCTTTATAAAAGACAAGTTCTTTTCTACTTTTCATTATAGTAAAGCGGCGTGATGTGGTTCAAACAATTGTGCCTGCATCAGGTCCTTGGGGCGAATTTACCGATACGGTTTATTGTGATGCAGATACCTGGGCAATTGGTTTTCGACAACGTGTAGAACAACCATGTAGTGATGATTGTGATGATACTGCTTTGAATGCATTGGAATTATTGTGTGGAAAAAAAGACGGAACTTCTGTTAAGTCAATTACATCACATAATGGTTTTTGGGGCGATTGGAGTAATTTCGTTCGTTGTCCTGGAAACAATAATTTTTTGAAAGGTGTTTCATTTAAAATTGAACCACCTCAAGGAACAAGTGATGATACAGCTGCAAATGATTGCCAATTTTCATGTTCTCAATCGTCTAACATTCGCGCATCAAATGGTGCTCCATGGGGCGACTGGAAACAGATGACATATTGTCCTCCATCGACGGCTATTTGTGGATTTTCACTAAAACTAGAAAATACACAAGGCACGGGAGATGATACAGCCATGAATGGAGCAATATTTGAGTGTTGTGCTTTGTGAACTAGGTTGTGTATACTGTTCCTTCTCGTCGGCTTTGTTATAATTCCTATAATATTCAATTAAACAATATTACATTATATCCTACTGCAACTTCTTTCTTTTCTCCTAATAATTGTATTTCTTCTCAAAATCTGAAATATATACAGGGTGGCCCAAAAAAGGTGTCAGTGGAGGAGTGTGAGTATGGGTGTAGGTGTAGATGTCGGTGTAGGTGTGAGTAGGGTTGGGGGTGTGGGCGCGGAAGTGGGGCGTGGAGTGCTGGTGTCGGGTATAGGTGTCTGCATTCAGTTCACCTACACTCTCATACCCACCCACACTCACATTCACACCCTGCCTACATGCATTCAGAGACTATCTCGTTAACTAATAGAAAAAATTGAAAAGTCTAGCACTGCTAGTCAAAGTAAAAATTTCCGCTAGATCGGTCTTTATATGGTTGAGAAATCAATAATTGACCAGCATAACCGATATTCATAAATAAGAGTTGAATATGTTCGTAACTCTGTTCCAAGATCGCAGACAACAGAATCGTCTTAGGCTTTGACACTCTCATCATGGGCTATCATCTGAAAATAGTCTCGATCAAAAAGCGACTAGATACTTGGGAACGTTCCCTCATTAGTTATCTTCAGTACAGAAAAGAATGAGTTCTCTGATTATGTTTTGACACAAAACTACAACCAGTTTTGTTAAAATTCAGAGAAACTATTTTGTCTTTGTATGTATGAATAAAAAACGCATCGTTCAGACGAGTTTGTGTGGGTGTGAATGGGTGTGCAGTCTCTTCTTCTTCATCCACAGCCAAGTGCTGAACATTTTAGAATTTTTGCTGTTTATGTCACTAGAAACATACTTGGAATATGGAAAGTTAGTTACATATGATTTTGCACGACTATCATAGATCATTAGTATTAATATGAAAACTTGCAGAAATTTTCATATTATGAAGATCATCTGACAGACATTAATATTAATATCAATATATAACTTGAAG